CTTAATTAAAGGATAATAGTTTTTAAATAAATTAAATTATTAATGAAAATATAATAGAGAAGTAACATCCTTAAGCATTAAACGATCCATTATTGGTTTTAATGATACTTCGTAAAAGTATTGAGAAATTATATCAAATAAGGTGAAAATGAATACTACATAAATTTAATATAAGACAATGATTATAATAGATTGAATAAATTAAAAAACATTATGGCATTTCCTGTAAGCAATGATAATCCTGATATAGTAGTCATAGAATAAATCATAATATCATTGAGAAATATGATATAAGTCACCTTTTATTTGATAGTTTCAGATAATACAAAAGAAGTGGCAAGACTGATTTCTCAACAAATCTAAATCAAATTAATTTTTAATAATTGATTAAGCTGATTCAATTTAAAGCACAGAATTTTCAACAGGTTCGAAGAATTCAACTGTAATTTCATATAATGGAATATTATATGCAGTTGATAGGTTTGATATTTGTTTTACATTTATAGATGCAATTGTTTCGTATATAATTGAGAATACAGCAATTTCTTCAAATTTAAAACCCTACAGTAATTTAACATTTTATGTGAAACTTAATTAAATCAACTAAGTTTGGTTAGTTTTATTTAAGAGATTAATTAAAATTAGGTCAATATGTAAAATATAAGAACAAATGCTAGATGCATTTTCATAATTTTGACGCTAATAAAAATCTTCTTCACTACAAACAGATGAATATTCATCTCCTCCAAATTAATTACCATCATTGCATTATTCATATTTTAAGTTAAGGATACCATTCCCAAATTAAGATAAGCATTGAAGGTCTATAAATATTTAATTATCACTGTATCTGGAAATAACAATATCAAGATTAGCTTCTTCATCTTATCTTCCTTATCTTCAATTAAGACTATTTTCTCTTAACTTGTAGCTGTTTCATTAATTAAGGTAAATTAATTATCACACTCTTTACAACCTTATCCTTAATCACATTCAAGATAACATTAGTATTGACATTAATAACATCCATCACAGGGTAAATAGTTACCATCATCAGATTGTTCACCATTAATTTAAATGATTCCATCTCCACTAAATCTTATACATAATTCTGAAAAGCATTAATTTAGAACATCATCTAATACACAATTTAAATCATTAACATCAACAAAACACAATTCTTATAAAACAATATTATGCAATTTTTCTTTTAAACACAAACACCCTCTATTATTTAGATAATTTAAAATTCCTTTTAATCTTAAAAATAAAATTGAAATATAATTTATTTATCTTCAATAACTAATCAAAAGGCTTTAAGCATTTATCAAAAGTGCATTAATCTTTACTCAAAACATCTTCACATTACTATCTAAAATACAAGATTTACCATTTGATTTACATCTTTTATCTTCAAAAAGCTACGAAAAATCTTGATCATCTGAATATCAATAATCAAAACAACCTTTTAATTATATCTACCTTTTTAACAATTTCTCATAAACTCTATACATTTTTTATGAGTTGAAGCAATATGAGGTCCATTTTCACAGATATATTCAACCCATTATATTTTGATTTCATCCCAAAACAAGGTATTTCACTTATTTTTAGCATCTCTCCATTCATACATTAAATTTATGAATATTCATTACAATTATTTGGTACTTGATGCATCATTAAAAAATTAATTTACTGTACGCTGTTTACCAAAATATTATTAATAA